AAAAAAAGAATCGATAAAGAATCGAATCGTTAAACAGAATCGAAAATGGAATCGGAATTGTGAAAATCTTATCAATACCCATCCCTAGTAAACACTGAATACATTTGGGTTTATTTAAATCTTGGTTATAGGAGACCTATTTTCATTTTTATTTTTTTTAAATAAGTAACAGAGGTAATAAAGATGTAATAAAGATTAAAGAAGTCATAAATTAATTGGTTTTAGGAGTTTTAAGAATTATTTATGTCACTTTGCTTCATAACTATTAATACAAATGATCTCATTGAGTCACTAGAGGGAGCCGTTTGACCTTAAAATAACCTAATGAAAAAGCTGCTGATCTCTTTGATCTAAGCTAAGCCGGCTGCTGCAGAAATATGACTTTAAAAACTTCAGCCTAGCTTCACCTTCCTCCTCTTTTTTTTTAAACTGTATATTTAGAAAAAAGACTGGCACATAGAACAGAAAACACTGCACTGAACCCCCGATCTCTATTATTCTAGATAAAGCCCTGAAATACTGGCTGCTCTTACCAACAGAGCAGACAATGACATCAGAGGTGAGAAGGAAACATGAAGCTGCTGCTTCTCTGTTTCCTGCAGACTGGAGAGAATCCTGAAGAATACAGATCAGCTTCTGAGCCACAAATGGTTTCAGGGTTTTTACTGATGAACGTCACTGCTAAAGTCAAGGTATTCGCAGTGTTTTTGGTGGCAGGACAACTGCAAATGATCCAGTTTGTCACCAACAAAGTGAAACTATGTTTTCGGGACTTTGTAGGTGCTTCCTGAATGAAATCTGACCCTGTTTCTTTGAGAAGTTTCAACCCTCTAGCAGATCATTACATGCAGGAACCTTTTGAATACAAGCGCGCTCATGCTCACAGGTGCACACACGGGTGCTCACACACACAAACTACACCCTTTTTGCCTCCTACCTCAAAGCACACCGTGCGCTGTCAATCCTACGTGCTGCACAATAATATTCAATATTTAGTATTTACTATTATCTTCACATAGATCATCCCGATGATGTTGTTTATTATATTGCTCTCTTTTTTGGTTTTGTCTTTTTTCTTTCTCAACAAGTGATCCAGGTGATTGATATATGTATTTTTTGTCTGTTTGTTTTGTTTTTGGTTTTTGCCTTTTATCACCGTTCCTCTTCCCCGCTGTTTTTCTTTC